GGGTTACAGTACTCCAGAAAGGTTAAAAGGCTGTTTGAGGTCGCCTACTCTACTACCCAGCTGAAGTGAGAACGACGTGTGTCCTGAGACCCACGCACAGAGAGCAAGAATCGCGTGAGACATCAATGAATCCTACGGCCATACACAATAGACGCAAAAACCCCAAAACCTAAACCCAAAAAAAAGAACAGAGCCGAACACCCAAAATGAAGCTGGAAACAAGTGCTAAGCTCCACAGCTCCTTGCAAAAGCAGCGGCCCAAAAACATGGCCAAACTGAAACTTGTAAAGCCCGCACTGAAGAATCCTACCTGACAGGGCTTATCATAAGGACCCTAAGGGGGTTAAGGGGTAGGGGGGTTGCTTTTTAGCAGGCCTGGTTAGGCCCTTGTTACGGGTATTTTAGGCCCCCTGCCCCGTCCCGCCTATCCCCCCTCAGGATCCTAAAGAGCTGATGTCTAAGTCTAGGCACCCTTAGATGTCCAAGCCCTACACCCTAAACCCTAAACCCTAAACCCTAAACCCTAAACCCTAAACCCTAAACCCTAAACCCTAAACCCTAAACAAAGCTTGAAACCACCAGGCATCCGAGAGGCAGTAGGCTCCACGGTTGCAGCGCGTCTCGTGGAACCTCAGCTTCCCAGAGCCCAGTACCCCTTCTGGTTTAGGGTTTAGGGTTTAAGGTTTACTATGATTTAAGGTATATTCCTTAATTAAGGGGTATTGGGCTGCGAGTGCCCCCAACGTAAACCCTAAACCCTGCACCCTAAACCCTAATTGCACCGCTCCGAATCTATAAAACCCTGGCGATCGCCAACCATCATCAACACAGCTGTCTCACCCCTCCACATGTGGTTTAGGGTTTAGGGTTTAGGGTTCCCCTCCATCCGTGCAAAAGCACAATTAGAAGCCCCAGAAACCCAATCCCCTAAACCTAAACCCTCAGCCCTAAACGCTAACCCATCACCCAAACGAAGCTAAACCCTCAACCCTCGACTTAAACTCCAAACTCTAAAACCCGAACCCACCCCCCAACAAAAAAAACTCCTTCCTAAAGCTAAACATCTTAGTTGTCCAGTACCCTAGCTAGGGGAACTCAAGGCTATCCGTTGGGACTATATAGGGATCTTAGCACCCCACAAAGGTTAAAAGGTTACCTACTGTACTACTGTTTAGGGTTTAGGGTTTAGGGGCCCTAAACCCTAGACCCTNNCCCTACACCCTAAACCCTGAACAAAGAACTCTGAGGCTCCGACGCTCGGCAGCGCGCCTCGCGGAAATCGGAGACCGTCGTGTACTCGGCCTTTCGTCGGGTGCTCGGTTTAGGGTTTAGGGTT